ACACCTTTCGAGACCAGGCCACAGGTGAGCCCAGCCACTCCGGGCTGCTCTCTGCAGAAGCAACTTGTGGGAAGCCTGAGCAGACCCAGGGCAAGGGCGGGGATGTTGGGAGGGGGCTCAGGGAGTATGACCTCTTTTCCTTTTGGTAGGCTGAGTGAGAGGTGGCAAAAGGGACCACAGTGGGGAGCATAGGGTTGATTCCATAGGTCAGTGGCTGTTCTCTATGCTGGAGACTCCAGGATGTTCTGCAGACCTTGAGATGCTCAGGACACCCTGGATTACTCTGGAGACCCCGGAATGCTCTGGAGACCCTGGGATGACCTAGTCTTGCCTAGGTAGGCCTGACATCTGGTGCAGGAGCCAGATAGAACCTAGATGGCAAGACTGGGGAATGATGTGGCAGTGACAGGCAAGGCCACAGGGAGCAGAGGTCACCCCTGGCTTAGTCAGGGGGGCTTCTCCAAGGGGGGACTTTCCATTGAAGTCCAGAGGGTGAGCCTGCACTATCCAGGTAAGGGTGGGAGCATTCCTAGCAGCCCAGGGGGCAGCAGGCCTGGCATGGCTTGGATCTGATGGAGTAGGTCCCTCTGGGCCATGCACCTCATTCGTGCCCCGGGGTGCTCAGCCTGGTCACTTGGCCTCCCCAATGCCTCTTGGCAGTGATGCCAGACCCAGAGAGCACTGTCCCAAAGCCCATAGGCTCCTTGAAAGGGCCTGGGTGTGCATCCCAGCTATTCCATTTGGGAATGGTTGGCAATTGGGTAAGCTAAGGCCTTAGTTTCCCTATCTACAAAATGGGGATGATGATGGGTTCACTAGCACTGAGGTCCTAACTGCTTACCTCACCTGGCTGAGCTGTGGGCATTCTACTCAGGGGCGGTTTCCACTGGGCCTCCGCTCCCATTCCTGAGCATGAGGCTGGCTGCACTGGGAGTGAGACAAAACCCCTCCATCCAGGCTCTTTTGCTGATAAGTAGCCCCTGGCCCATGGGTCGCTGGCCCCTCTCCCTCCCTGCCACTCTTGGGCTGGCCTCAAGAAACCCAACCAAAATCTCTACCTGACCCAGACTGCTGAGGTCGGCACTGCCATCCAGCTGTGCCCAGGCCCATCCCACCATTCAGCATTCTGTATTTCCCAAGACCTTCATGCTCCAGAAAAGGGCAATATACATTTTCAGGACAAATGACCCTAATTTTGAAGCAATTTGTAATCCTGTGGAATACTGATAGGTGCCTGTGTTTGTCACAGGAGCATGTATCATGAAAAGAAAAGAGCCTTTCCCCGGGGGCTCTTAATGTCCCCTGTTAGTGGCCTCCTGTACAACCTGGCACCTGCCTATTGGCACCAGGCATGTGGGGCCCAGGTGCTCTGACATCTTGGCCCAATTACACTGCCATCCTCCTTCAAGCACCACCACAAAGCAGCGTCCACTCCCAAGAGCCTTCTGACCCCAAGGTGGCCGTGGCAGCACCAGAGGCAGCATGCCAAGTGCCCGAGGCCCTCCCAGAGGGACAGAGACCGGTGCTCCGACCTAGTCCACAGGAGCCTGGGAAAGCTCAACCCTTTCCGCACTTCCCCCAAGCGAGGCCTGGCCAGGCTCTGTCCCCTTTCCAAGCCTATAGGGTAGAAGACCATGGTCCTGCTTTCAAGTGTTGTGGGAGGAGTAAACCAAATGGACCCTGTGAGTTCTTAAGTGGACAGATGGGCCAAAGGCATATGCAGCAAGAGTGGGCATGGAGCTGGGTGGAGGGGCCAGTGGGGCCACTGCCTGGGGTGTCCTCCTGAGAGGGGGTTGAAGGGACCCCCCCAAATGAAATGCTGAGGTGGGAGGACCCCCAAGGAGCAGGTGAGACCCTACGTTGGCTGCCAGTGGGGCAGGCCATGAGGGTGTCTCTCTCTCTGCAGGAGGTGTGAGCCTGGCAAGAGGAGGGAGAGAGGAGGAGGGCAAGCTCCACCGCCTTATGGCTCCTTCTGCATCTGCACCCACTCAGGCCTAGTCGTCTCTCTGAATGTACATACTTTTAATAAATATCAAAAGGTTTGGTTGGACTGTTTGTCTGGGACCTCCTTGTGTCAAGGAGCCCCCATGAGGGCCTTCTAACACCCTCTGCCTCAGGGCTATAGGTGGCAGCATTTTCTACAATGAATCACATGATTTGAGAAAAAAAATTCTTGTTTTCTTCACTAGAACAGTGCCCAGTACATTAAAGGTATTCAATAAATGTGGATGGATGGATGGATGGATGGATGGATGGATGGATGACGACAGATGGATAGATGGATGATGGATGGATGAGTGGATGGATGGATGGGTGGGTGGATGGATGATGGATGAATGGGTGAGTGGATGGATGGATGGATAGATGGACAGATGGATGATGGATGGATGGTTGGATGGGTAGGTGGATCGAAGGATAATGAATGGATGGATGGTTGGTGGGTGGATGGACGGATGGTTGATGGATGGATGGGTGGCTGGCTGGTGGATGGATGGATATAAGAAATATAAATGAGAAAAGAAAATGGTCTTTGGGGGAAGGGATGGCATGCACCTCTCCCAGGTCTGTCTTAATAACAATAATGATAATGACTATTTTTTATGGAGCCCTGACTTCTTGCCAGGCTCTTATATTACTCCATTATCCTTTAACAAGTCCTACTGGGGTTGAGATTGTGCTTTGAAGGATAAAAATATGAAGCACAGAGAGGGCAAGCAAATTGCCCAAGGTCACACCTGGTTCACACCCCCAGAGATGAGAATCAAAGTCTGGGTGAACCAGTGTCAGTGAGTGCTGTGCAGGAGAGGACATGCAAGCAGACCTGCCCCAGTGGAGCTCCCCTTGCTCAGGGACCCACTGAACAAGGGCAGAGGGTTGGTGGCACAACTACGGGACCCAGGTCAAGCCCCTCCCTGACTGCTAACTTGCTGGTGACTCTGGGCAGGACTTCCTTGAGTCTTAGGTCCAGTCCTTGTGAGAGGAGTGCCAGGATCCCATGACCCTGAGGTCCTTCCAGGCTGATAACTGCTGTGACTCCCCTGTCGCTGCTGCTGTTTGACAGTGGCTGCTCAGAGAAGCGAGGCCACCTCCATGGGGAGGCCAGGGGTAGCCATCCAGCAGGCTGAGCTCTGGGACCAGCCAGGAACCCAGCCACCCACATCCATCCTCTGACTCATGGGACATGGCATCAAGTGCCTGTTCACACCTTGGTTTTCCCATGGCCAGTTGGTGCAACGGTGGCCTCCCTGCCATCGTGACCAGGCTCTGTGGAGGAATTCATGATTCCAGAAGGCTCTTAGGAGCCTTTGGAGACATAGGGGTTGGGTGGAGATGGGGCTGATGCTGCTGCCAGGGAGGAAGCAGGACGGGGTGGGGGTGGGGGCTTGGCAGAGAGCTTCCTGAGGAGGGTGAGTGGTGGCAGAGGTGCTCCCACCGCTCTCCTTTCTCCATCCTACTCTCCCTTCATTCAACAGGTATGTGTGGAGTGCTCACTCTGGACCAGGCGGTGTGCAAGGCACCGAGGATCGTAATAAAGGTAGGATAACATCAAAGACATTCATTGGTCTTCACTTAGCAGCGCATGGCATACGTCAGCAGGTGCAATCCTCACAGCTACCCTAAAAGGTGGGAACTATCTACTTCAACAAAGAACGCTGAGGCCCTGCACTAGCAGGTGAAGCCAGGCTCCCCACCAGGTGGTCAGACCCCCTCTCCCCAGGACCTCCACCCCTGCTGGCCTGCAGCTGCCCTAGCCAAGACCGAGAACCCCAATGGAATGCTCTCCGCCAATGGCTCCTTCACTCAGCTCCGTCCTGATGCCCACATACCGGCAGGGTCTTGCTCAAGGTCACACAGAGGGGATGCTGGGTCAGGAGGAAGACATTTGACCCTTTCCTGTGCTCCCCATCAGGGTGCGCTTGTGTTCTGGGATCAAGGCCCCAGTGGGCAGGGACCCAGCCAGGATTGGCGTGTGGTGCCGGCGCCGACTGGCCTGGCCTGGGGCTGGTTCTGCCGGACTCCGGCGTTCCCCGGAGGCCCTGCTGGGGTAGCCGGATGCTGCTGAGGGCCGGGTTGGAGCATCTGCCCCTGCATCAGTATCCAGGCAGAGTCCGTTTCCTGCGGCCAGCCCTCCTTCTCTTGCTGCCAGCATCTCCCAAAGCCTTGACCCAAGCCAAATGTCCTGGGGCCACCTCGGCTCGCAGTGCCAGGTCCCCGAGACTCGGCCTCCAGAACGCTCCGCAGCCCAGCCTGCACCCCAAAGGCCCCCCTTGTCACTACCAGGCACCAGCGGGCTCCGCCGACTCCCCTTAATTTCCTGGGGCCCCGCAGCCTCCCCTGTCCTGTACCGGACCCCGCCCTGTGCGGGGCGCCTGACGTCACAGGTGGCGGAAGGCGACAGCAGGGGCTGTGGCCCGAGCCTTCCACGGGGTGGGACGCAGCACCGCGGGAGCCGGAGGCGCGCGGCCCTAGACCGGAGCCAGGAGCACACCTGCGCCACCATCCCAGCCCGCGCCCCGCCGCGCCTGTTTCCCTGTCTGCAAACTAGGGAAGGTGGGGGTTGGCCCAGGTGTCCGGGGCGCCTGCAGTTCCACGACTCAAGAAGAGCTGCACCAAGCTCTCGTCCCGGGGCCTCCCTCCGCGCCACTCGCGGGCTCCCGAAAGCCGCCGCCGGCCTGGACGCCAGCCGGGCAGCGAAGACAGCCGCGGGGCACCCACCAGCGGCTACGGGAGGCCGCAGCGGCGCCGCCGGTCTGCGCGTGCGCGGGGCGCGCTGCCGGCCGGGACTTGTAGTCTGTCCACGCGGGGGCTGGGCGGCAAAGGCGGAGCGGCGGGGGCGCCGAGCCTACACTTCCCAGGGTGCGTCCCGCCCGCGGGGCGGGGGGGGCGGGGCGGGGCGGGCGGGGCGGCGCGCAGGGGCGGGGCTGGCGGGGGCGGGGCCGGCGGGGCGGGGCGGGGCCGGCGCGCCGGGGGGCTGCGGCGGCGCTGCGGGCGGGCGCCGACCGAGCCTAGGGCCGGCGGACCCGCGGACCGGCGGGCGGGCGGGCGATCCCGCGGGCGCGGCACCTGCGGGCAGAAGCGTCGGGCTGCCGCAGCGCCGGACCGCCCGCCTCCCAGCTGCCGCTGAGATGAGTGCAGGTGAGTGTGCGGATGGAGGGACCAGCGGGTCCCCGAGCCGGATCGCGGCACAGCATTCCAGGGCTGCACCTGCAGCGGGGGGAAACCACCCAGGGCTCTACCCAACTTTTGCCCCAGGGTCTTGCGGACCCTCGGGGCGGGCCCTCAGCCCCCTGCCCCTGCGCCCGGGCTCGTGCAGGTCTGCAGCGCGGGCTGGGGACCCCTTTCCCACCGCGCCGGCCAGGGTGGCTGCGCCGGGCTGTCTGGAAGGCGCCACTTTTTTGCTCCTCACGGGTCCCAGGTCGCTGCAGGTTGGAGAAGGCGACCCTACGGGCCAGGGGCGCAGGGGCGCAGGGCCGCAGGGCCGCAGACCCTGCTACGGAGAGGTGTGACGGTACTAGGGGCTTTGCGGCAGGGGGCGCCGCCCTTGCGCGGCCCTCGCGCCGCCGGAGCTGGGGGGTGGGCGTCAGGCCGACCCGGCGCCCCGGGCTCGCCCGCTGCAGAATTGGGGACGCAGAGCCTGCAGGTGTGTGCGAGCCGCCCCATCTCCCTCCAGTAGGCATCTCTCCGGCCCCTCACCCCTGCGCATCCCCACTGCTGCCTCTCCCGCCGCACCCACCGTCTCTGACAGCCTCTGTGCGGCCCTGGAAAATCCCACATCGTCACAAGCCAACCGAGCCTATTGCGCTTGGGGAAACTGAGACCGACAGCAGGGAAGCCTTGGCAGGGGAGTCTGATGCGCGGCCCGAGGAGCCGCGGTTCAGAGAGTCTCCGTGGCCTGGAACCGGGCTGGGGGGTTGGTCCCTACATTCCCTGGCAGGGAGGGGCCGTCACTCCATTTTTCAGGGTGCGACCGAGGCTCACCAGGCTTGAGTCACTTGCTCAGCTCACGCAGTGGGGTGCGGATTCTAACCTGGTGCTCCCTGACTCCTGCACTCTCTCCTCTGAGCCTGTCTGGCCACAGACTGCAATATGGCCTTTGGCCATGGTGCAGAAAAAAAGCCGGGACAAGCTGGGGGAAAACCAGCCTGGGGGAGGGAGTGTGCATTTGGCGAGTGCTTGCTCCCTGCTCTGGGTTTGGGAGGGCTGTTTCCGGGGACCCATCTCCCAGCAGTGGGAATAGTCCCCTCCCCCTCCAACCCAGGAAGGAGGGGCCACACTGGCGGTGGGCGCTTGGGAGAGTGGCTGAGAGCAAATGGCAGGCAGCGGGAGGCAGCATTCTCTAGAAGAGGGTTTCTGAAATGGCCAACCTGTTATCTGGAGGTGGCTGGGGAGCAGGGCACCCCAAGGCTTGGCAGAAGCTCCAGACACATTTATCTAATGGCAGGTGGGGGTAATGGCAGGGTGCACATAGGGTAATTTTAGGCCTTCTGTGATCATAATTGATACCTCTGGTCCCTCCTGTAATCAGGGGGAGCCCTGGAAGGAGCACTGGCATTTGTGGTTATCCTAGAAGAAGGGCTGTATGAGCACTGGGGGCCACGGGGGAGGTGTCATGATTCCCAACGAGCAAGGGGATTGGGGTTCAACCATACTGTCTGCCTGGTGGCAGATTGTGATCTTGGCAAATGATGGCACCTTCCCGAGCTTGGCTTCCCCAGGTGTAGAAGTAGCGCTGCTCCTAACCTGGAGAGAACGAGATACCCGTGGGAGACTCCCCACAGAGTAGGTCCTCCGTAGCTCATAGCTCGTGATGGTCACTGCCGATGGTCACGTTCCCCTCAGTCTTCCTGAGTTAACTCAGCCCTTTGGAGCTGCCCATGAGCCTGCTCCCCATCCGGCTGGGGATGGGCTGGTGCCCCAGATGTGTCCCTCGGCCATCCCTTGTACAGCCCGATGGGGGAGAGCATGGTCCCTTGTGCCTTGCACCTGGCTCTCGTGTCTGGCCATCGCGCACACCTGGCAGATCAGCGACTTCTATCACCAATGAAGGCGGGTCCCCTGATGCCCTCCTGCCAAGGAGACTGGCATTGTCCTGGAGTTTGGTGCCAGCAGGTGTGGGTGGGCATCACTTGGTCCAGCATCCAGCTGCCCAGATGGGCCTTTGGGTCAAAGCCTGAGGTGACCTATACAATCTCCCTGGGTGGGAGGCTCCCTTTTCTTTTATGCCACCAGGCCTCAGGCATGTCTTGCTTTAGTCAGATGACCTGGTGCACCTTTGAGACTGCTTGGGTATGACCTCAGGGCCCCGTGAATATGCCTACTTGTTTGCGGCTCATTGATTTTGGGTGGCCAGGGAAAGTGTCAGAGGTGGCGTTCTATGTCAGGCCTAAATCCAAATCCAGCGCACTAGCTATGGGTTCCCTGTGCCTCAGTTTCCCCTTTGTAGGGAGGGAATGTCCTTAGCTTGGCATGCAGCCCTGGCCCACTCGTGTGGGGCCCGGTACATGAGGCTTTTGGTGGTAGCCTCATAATGTTGCAGCCTCTGGGGTTGCAATGGGCAAAGTGGGGCCAGGGAGGGGACCTGAGCTGGGAGGGGCTCCAGGGTCAGCTCTGCCACCAGTGGGTGCCAGTCCTTGAGCAGACCCCATGTTCTCTGTGGGTCTGGATGCATGCCATCCCTTGGTGGCTACACCCTGGCAGGTGGGAGTCCCCCAGGTGGTCAGAGGTTCCTGGCGGGTTGTATTGGTCAAAGCACCGCAGACAGGGTGGCTTAAACCACAGATATTTATGCACGCACTTCTGGAGGCTGGAAGTCCATGTTGAAGGTGCATGCGTGTGTGTGTGTGTGTGTGTGTGTGTGTGTGTGGGTGGGGGGGGTGTTGGTTCCCTCTGAGCCCTCCTCCCTCCTTAATTTGTAGATGGCTGTCTTCTCTCTGTGCTCACTGAGGTTTCCTTCTGTATGTGCTTGGTCCAAATTTCCTTTTCTCATAAGGACACCAGTCATATAGGATTAGCAACCACCTGGCTGGCCTTATTTTACCTTAACTACTCTGTGAAGTTCCTGTCCCCAAATACAGACTCATTCTGAGATACTGGGGGTTAGGACTTGAGCATGTGAATTTGCAGGGGGGCATCATTCAGCCCGTAGCGGGTGCAGGGCCAGCTGGAGAGCCTGGGTGGTTGGTTCTGTCACTGTGTTCATGGCTGCCGGGCTAGGATCACAGAGCTGGAAGGACGTAGAGGATGCTGCGTCCAAACCCATTCATGCACAGAGGGGAACCAAGGCCTGGAGAAGAAAAGGTAACCGTCCAAGGTCAAGCAGAGAATGTGGCAGAGCCAGAACCTGAGCCCCAGGCCCCGACCCTGGTTGGCACGGCGCTAGATATTTGGAACAGAGGCACATCCCTTCATCTCGTCCAGGTGTGGACAAAGACGTCACCATGAAGATGCTCACGTCAGTACAGCAGAAAGTTGAGCCACCTACATGTGGAGGGCACGGCAGGTACCAGGCAGCCACGCAGTCACTCGCTCACTGGGCAAAGGCTTCCCACACCCGCCATGTGCCCCGCGCACTCCGGGTCTGGGTGCGGCCGTGGGCGACAACACGCACGGTGCACATCCTGCTGGAGCTTCTCATGGTCTGGGGGTGGCGGGGGGCATTCTAGTGAACGGTGTGTGAGAGGCTTTAATGTGGGGAGCCGTGCTTGAGCAAACCAGTTTAACTTAGCAAACGGAGGGAAGAACCTACGTCATACGTGATCTCAAGTCTGCAAACTGAGATCATGGTAAAGGAGGAATATCAGGAAGGACACGTGTCCAGACATCAGCAACTGTCTCCCTCTCTAGGGGGGAAGAGGAGAAGGAGGTTTTCCCACTTTTTTGGAGGTGGAAGGCATTAGGGTGTTTCCCATGGGCCGAGGCCCTGGTGCCCGGTTTCCCTGCGTGACTCATTCTGAATTAGGGACAGCAGAAGACAAACCATCCTGACCCAAAAATGCATCTGAAATTGCCTCCAGAAAGGACAGTTGTTGCCCAAGAACCAGCTGGTGCTCCCTAGCTCAGCATGGGCATCTCTGAGCTCTGCACTGTTGTCCTCTGAGGTTCAGGGTGACTCCCTAACCTGCCCCCCGAGACCCTTCGATTCATTACCATTTCTGTCAATAAGGTTGTCTGGAGGTAGATGGCATATTTTCTAGAATCAAGTTCTGATTTTGATGAACTCTTAGCAAGTCCAGTCTTACTGTCCCAGAAAAGGGAGTGTGTGACCTTCATGTTTGGAGAAGTCACCTGTCTGATGCGCTGAGCCTCCAGAAAGTCATCTGGAGCTTGGGAGCTGGCCAGAGAATATGGGTTCATCTGGGTAATGAAAGGAGAGGGTGGGAAGGGCTACAGCCGGCAGGGTCTGTCCTGGCACCGGGCCTTGGCCGGGCCAGCAACGGTTGAGGACAGCAGCAGCTGCCAGGACTCTGGCCCCTGGTCTGCCCCGACAAGGGGGCTTCCTTGCACCCCTTGCTACAGGGGAGCTGGTAAGTCCTCCTCTGAACTCCTGTCTGTTGGGCTCATTCCAGCTCTGCCACCTGCTAGCAATATTGATCACTGAACCTTTCTGCGCTTCTGATGCTCCCTCCGCTTGGGGTCTCCACAGGGACCAAGGGTGCAGGTCCTGACACGTGGGAGAGGCTTGGAAAGGCAGTTAAAATAGTCTCAGTAGGAGAGCACGGGTGGTGTTCAGACAGTAGCTCGCTTTTTGATCATGCTCACATGGCGAGCTGCTGGGGGGACAAACCAGATGTGTGCCGCCTGCATGGGCTGAGAGCAGCGGGCCCCAAGGCTGCTAGGACGCAGGGCAGAGCAACCTGAGCGGAGCGTCTTTGTTTACTTGAGGATGTTTCCATCCGCGAGGCCTCTAGGGTGTCGGGCAGCACCCTACTTCAGTGTCACGGCAGCCACGGCTCATGGGACGCTCCCTTGGGCCCCACGCCTGGCCTGATGCTCCTGGATCCTCACAGCGCTTCTTGGGGCTGCTGGGGTGTCCCCAGTTATGGGCAGGGGAGCAGATGCCCAGATGGGCTGTGGGTCGCCTGGCATCATGCTGCACCACTTGTGAACAGCAGAGCTGGATTGGAACCCCGGTGTGC